TATAAGACGGCTTACGATTTTTTCACATTTCGTAAGGAGTCTCATCTTTCCCTTTAGGTGGTATTTTATTCAGAATATGATTTGCTGTTAAAACAGCTTCCCCCCACATGTTTTGAGGTAATCCTGAATTTATCAACATGGCATTCATCATTTCTTTTAAAGTACGGTTCTTGCGTTCAGCAACACCGTTTGACTGTGGAGAATAAGGGGCAGTCGTTTAATGAATTATGCCATATTCAGAACATATTTGTTCAAAAGGAGCTACATACTCCCCACCCCTATCGCTTCGGATTATTTTAATCCTTTTGCCGAGTTGATTTTCAACTTCGGTTTTATAAATTTTAAATGCTTCCACAGCCTCGTCTTTGCTTCTTAATAAATATAAGAAGTAAAACCTTGTGCAATCATCGATAAAAGTAATAAAATACTTTTTACTCGTTCTTGTTTGCACACTTTTCATATCACATACATCAGTATGGATTAAGCCTAATGGTTCAGTACACCTTTCCACCGAGTGAAAAGGCAACTTAGCCATTTTTGATTCAATACAAATCTCACATTTTTTATGTGATTCAATTTTAGAATTAGGAATTAATTCTAAATTCATCAACCGTTTAATTGCATTTCGATTTACATGTCCCAATCTAATATGCCATAAATCAGAGCACTCAACGGTATAAACAGAAATAGGCTTTTCATTATCGTTTAAAACGGTTACACGGCTCACGGCCATTACATTCATTTTAAACATACCCTTGTCGAGATAGCCACGACCAAGGAAAGTTCCAAACTTGCTAAGAACAAATTTCTTAGCATCAAATACCAGCCTAAATCCATGCTCAACAAGAAGAGATCCGGAGACCAAATTCTTGCGGATGTCTGGGACATGCAGAACATCCTTAAGCTTCAACTCCTTTCCAGAAGTCAGCTTCAGCACCACAGTGCCCACTCCAACCACATCAGCCGTGGCGGAGTTTGCCATGTAAAGTTTCCGACTCTTAGCAGGAGTGTGTTCAGAAAATACCTCCTTATCGGAACACACATGACGAGTGGCACCAGTATCGATGTATCACTCCCTTGGGTTATCCCCCATATTGGCTTCAAACACCACAGCCGACATATCAAAGTCGGTTAGTTCACCCGGCACAGGGCCGTGTTCAGCAACAAGGGCACTCGGTTTACCTTTCTTTGACCCAGCCTTCTTTGGCCTCTTGCAGTCTTTTGCCATATGGTTCGGCTTTTCACAATTATAACAAGTTCCGGTAAACTTCCAAACTTTGGCAGGCTGCTTCCCTTTGTCTAGGGACTTTCTCTTGCTCGAGTTGCCTTGCTCTATCAAGTTAGCACGAGCCTCCATCATCGGAACTTTCCCTGATGAATTACGATTGTCCTCCTCAATACGAAGACGAACAATCAAGTCTTCAAGACTCATTTCCTTCCTCTTATGTTTGAGGTAGTTCTTGAAGTCTTTCCAACCCGTCGGCAGTTTTTCAATCACAGCCGCAACTTGGAATGACTCGCTCAGAGACATTCCCTCAGCATGAATATCGTGCAAGATGAGTTGGAATTCTTGCACTTGTGACACAACGGTCTTTGTGTCAACCATTTTGAAGTCAAGAAATTTTCCGACGATGAATTTTTTCGCCCCGGCATCCTCGGTCTTGTACTTCTTTTCTAAAGCAGCCCAAAGCTCTTTGGCAGAACCAACCGAGCTGTACACATTGTACAACTCATTACTAAGTCCGTTCAGGACATAGTTACGGCAAAGGTAATCACCTTGCCCCCAAGCTTCGTACGCAGTGCGTAGTTCAGTATTGGTCTCATTTTCAGCAATAACCGGGGGGTCGTCCTTCAGGTATTTCACCAAACCCAAAGTGGTCTGGTAAAAATGCATCTTTTGTTGCCACCTTTTAAAATCAAGCCCATTGAATTTTTCGGGCTTCTCAGCAGTAGGGACATGGACCGCAGGTACATGATTGATCGGATGCTGAGTGTTGGAACCATTTCCGGTGGAAGCCATCAGTCCAGTAGGTTGAAAATTCTTCTTGCGATTGTTATATTTCTAGTATAAAAATTACACGGGAATCCTACGAACTGATATGTATTTTTTTTTTTTCAGTTCTTATAAATAATCTAAAAATAGAAAATTACAAGTGAACTGAAAAATAAATTACATAGAAAAAAAAATTAGAAAGATTTTAGCCGAGGCGAGTAAAACTCTTTCCGCAAGAAGAATACGCCCCGTGTGTTGCTAACGGTTCAGGCGTAACTTCCCCAAAGATACAACGGCAAACGTCTCTAATATCTGTAGCACACCAGATTTACGAGCTCCGGCAAACTGTAACGGAGTCGAGAATTGAGCACTTAAAAAAAATATATATATATAATTTTTTTTTCTTCTCTCTTTTTTCCTTCCCTTTTCTTTTCTCTCTTTTCCTTCCTTTTTCTTTCCTTCTCTTTTCTGCCGTGTCTTTTCTTCACACTCTTCAACTAATGATCTGATATCCTTTTTATATATGCCAATGATCATTACTATTTTTAGTGGGCAAGAAAGAGAACATTAATATATAAATGGTTGTTTGGAAGGTAAAGAAAGAAAATACTAATATATGGATAACTGTTGAGGTGGTGGGAAAGAAAACAAACCGGTGTTGACCAATTGCTCAAAATTACAACACTCAATTATTACAGATTCTTCGACCCTGTAATTTTATTTTATTTTATTTTTTTTGGTGTTGCGGATTTATTAATTGACATGTGTTCTGGATTTGTTGAACCATGATTATTATTTCGAGTTAAATCAGGAATTTAATTATGTTTTTCTGTGACATGCTTTCTCTCTTCTTCTTCATAATGTTGCAGTAATTCTTTCGCAATCTATTTCAACTACGGAGGGTACTTGATTAATATTGATGGTTTCTTGGATTTTTCTGGTGATAATATGCACTTAGTTACTGGACTAGACTTCGATAAATTTGGTTTCTTTGAACTGGCAGAAGAAATTGATAAGTTGGGTTATAACGAGTGGAAGATGACTTTCTTTGGTAATAATATGCACATTGACGGTGTCGATCACCCCTTCTTTAAATCACGATGAGGGAACACAAAAGATACCAGGTGTTATCGACTTTAAATATACTTGGAATCCTCTATTTGTCGAGTATACTTTGAATATACTTGAAGTAAAGAAAACCTCAAACCAAAACTTATCGACTCTTTATACACCGCGCTGCTCCCCGATGGTGGGGAATGTATCCGCTCGCCGTATGGAAAGAATATGTTTACAGATGATGGCAACCCCATATTTTGCCTCAGTTTGGCTAAATCGACTTCTTTCAAGGTGCTTGACTTCTGGCAGATCTCTATTCACCGTATCTCTTCGGATCTTCCAAAGAAGAACGTCTCCAGTAGGCCTTGGGCATTGGCCCAGCAGATTTTTCTTCCATCCATACTTGAATATCTTCGATCTCACTTTTAACGTCGATTGGCTCTTATTTTACCGGCCCAATCGCCCCTTGAAGCCACATCTACCACCTCTATGTCAAAATTTTGGCTACTCTCTGACATATTATTGCTCCCAAGAAGAAGAAGCAAAACACTCAAATTTATTTGGTCGAATATGATGTCCAGAAGAAGAAAAATTACGAGTCCCTAATTACAGACTCACTGCAACTTTAGAAAGTAACCGACAAGTTGGACTATTGCATCGGTTCTTGCAAAGATACGTACGTCGCTGCCTCCTAATGCTGCCATTTGTCCCATGAAAAACATGTTCATCGAAGGGCATTATAATTCTCTGTCGTCATTAAAGAAGACTAGACTATCCAATGGTCTTATCCACTCCTGTTGGGTATATCGCTCTCTGACGATCGAAAATGAACGTCTGATACCGATCTCAAACAGCTGACCTCTCTACAATGAAGAATAAAACATACAACTTCTTGGACCCCTCAGTGACCTAGCGATCCCCTTAGCTATCGGGAGACCTGGGGGAGCTCCTTGTTATACGCATTCTCAGAAATCGAGCCCATCGAAAAGAAGCAAGAATTATGGCTCAAATACGACTGAACCCATAAGATAAGCAAGATCGGCCCAAAAGGCTACGATTCGTGCCGATATCCCCCTTGAGGTAATTGTCGATCCCTTGGCAAACCATTGTTGATCTCTCTACAGAGTATGAATGTCCTCTGACAATGGACACGTTAAAGTGACCGTCCAACCGGTCTCCTCATGAAAAGCCGAAATACATGTCTCATCCTCAAACTTTGAATATTTGCAGGGCAACATGTGTCGACTACCTGACCCCTAGGTGACACACTGTTATTATTGTATTTTACCTTTTTCGCATATAAATGAGGCGACTAGTACCTTATACACACAGCTACAACATTAGCCATATACTACACTCAAAAA